GCGGAGAATAGTACATCAAGCAGCCTGGAGATGCAAAGTAAATTCGATTTAGCAGGTCCTATCTAGAGTCTCAGAGAGGTATGTTGAGAACTGGCTTCAAATTCAACAAAGTATGAACGTTGCCCCGACAACATGTTGCAACCTACTCAATCTTGTCGAAGTTGCCGGCGTATCAGTAGCCTATGAAAGGCTGGTAACTCACCCGAGAGAGCTAAAGTGTGGCCGGTTTTGTGAACAAATATTTGCTAGGCAAACAGATACTCTTGTCCCCATTTGTCGAACTTTCGTTGTGTGTTCAGAGAGAAGAGCAATACTGCCTCATATAGGCCGTCTCCACCATTCGGCTGCAGCAACTAGCCCTTTGAGTCTTTCGGTACCTTAATCTGGACACGACGACTCAGAAACTGCTTGCAGAGCCTTATCAACAGACAAACTGTCAACTGAAGCAATAAATGTCCGGGCTTTCCCGTCATCATGGTTGAGGCGGCAGGAAACAGGGGCCAGAAGTTTGGTCTCCGCAAATGGCCAAGCATGGACCAACGGACTCATTGGCTTCTTCTTCAAGTTATCCACATCAGCAAGAACCCCTAATGGGACTCGAACCCATAGCCCACTTGACAAGAGGACGGGCCAGGCAATAGCAACTGGATTGCAGCCATGAGACCAACAAATGAGCACAGCTGACCAAAGTGCAGGAGGCCTTGTCTTAAAGTCGTTCTGATCTTGTTCTGAGTGTCATGAAGTGAAATGTGTTTTTAGGCAGCATTGAGGAAAAAATAGACACAGAGAAGTTGGAATTTCCGACAAGAACAGCATTTGAGGCGTAGAAAGATTTGGAGCCTTAAATGTGCCAAGACTTTTTAGGGAAAGGTTGGTTGTGATGGTTTCGTGAGTTAGGATCAGGAAAAACCTTGAAAGTTCGAGTCCTTGCGGTTGGGACGGCTGGATTGTGCGAGAAAGTATTAAGCTCATCGGTACGTAACTACATTCTATCCAAGCTTAACTTTGTCTTTTCCTTCCATCATAGATGGTATCCGCGATAGGAATCTCCATTTACGAAAAATGCCACGTACATAAGGCCAAGAAAAGTGGCTGGGTTAAAGCACACTCAAATTTTATGTTTAGGTTTAATATT